TTAGTTCCTAGTGCAGAAAAAACAGTTTCTCAGCTGCCTTCTTTTGTCCACTTAATGTCAGCAAAGCAGTTGCTGTCACTGAAAACTCTCCCTGTTGCTGCCGTGATATTTATAGCTACTCTCCAAGAGCAGCTGCCTGCCCAGATCTCTTTGTGCATCTCTTAGGTATTTCCACTTCTCACTGCATCCCAAGTTCCAGTCAAAGATGTTACTTGTTTTCTATCAAAATTGATAGCAAAGCCCCCTCTGCCAGCAGACTTTTCCTTCTTTGTTCTCTCTAGGGATGTGAGGAAGCCAGTAAGAGCCAGGAAACTTGCTGCAATAAAATCATGTTAAAATGGTGTGGTTTGTGATTACCGGCAAATGTATTCTGCTGATAGAAGAGAGATGATTAATTTGAACTACAAGATGGTGTCTCTGATAGGTACCCAGGGATATCGAAGTAGTTTGCATTTTTAACAGTAGATAAATTCTGTTTAGTGGGAGGTGACTTAAAATGACGTTATATATCTCGGTCCTACAGATATGAGTTGCAGAAGACAGTTAAAAATAGTTCCTCATAACGTCTGGTACTTGCTGCTGTACAGAAGGCAAAGCAAAGGACCCTGCCGAACAAACAAAAATAATCATCTGCTTTCTGCATCTTCCAGATGGTAGGTTGAATTCTAACATTATCATTTAACCAAAAATAACTCATGCTACTGGAAATAGTATTTTATAAGAAACTTTATTTCACTTCACTTATGTGCATCTTTATTTCCAGTCAGAGTGTGTATTTGGGTTTGCTAAAAGAGTAAAAATAACACCCAGAAGGTGAATGAGTGACTTGTGCCTTAGTAAATATGTCTCACACTGTTGTTATTTTACGCCATTTTTATACTGTAGAGTCTGTTAAGCTTTTAAAAGCAGAAATGATATTAACATTCTCATTTTTTTTTTTAGTATGCAGAGTATGGCGTTTTCATTATAAATATTCACTTATCTAAGCAGTACTATAAACAGTTTGTTGTCAAATACAATTTTGGAAAAAGTCACAAATATGTTGTAATTGCATTTGGGTAAGCAAAAGGACCAGTCCTATACATTACTACTCCTGTAACATAACTATGGAGTTCCCAGTTCTTTCATTTTCCTTTGAAATTGGATCTTTAGGGCTATAAACTGGCATATGCAGATAATTATGCCAAATGCAGTGTACTTGGATCAAGTGTTTTTTCATCACCAGATTGAAGCTTATTTACCTGAGAGAAATTTAGAATTAATCTCATAAACTACATTTATTTACAAGAAAAACACTGGTGAATTACAAGAGAAAATAGATTTAGGGAAAATGTGTCTTTTTTTTCCTTCCTTCTTCTTGAATATTAGGCATCTAAATTTAGGATATACTGTGGATGCAAACACCTGTTATGTAGATTTATCTTTGACAAATCTAGTAAAATAAATAATTTTTAAAAATCTAAATAAATTTGCAAAAGCTGAAAGAAACATCTTCTCATAATTATGTTCATAAATCACGATTATGTTCATAAATCATGGCCTTTGTATCACAGAATTTCAAGATACTGGAATTTTTTCCTTTTGACTGGGACATAAAGGGTCTTGCTACCTTTGCTTCACGTTTCATAACATGAAACATTCTTCTCATATGGTCCAAGTATCACAGATGCTTGGATGCTTTCATTGTGCTTTTCATTGAGCAGTGCCACGAAATTCGCTAAAGCACTAGTGAATAAGTCTCTATCTTGCTGTTTGTTGTCTAGAAGTGCCACCTCTGCTTCACTTTTTTGAGGTAATTTGGTGGTTTGAGGCTTGCTTACTTGAAAAATGGAAATGGAATCAAATTGTTGTTCTCAGGAAATGTTCCTCTTTATTTATAGCTCCACATACTACACATATTACATTCAAGAAATCTGAACTTTACTTAAACTGGTGGCTATACACAGTGTCTTTTAAAAAATGGAGTAAATTGCTAAAGCAATCATCAAGGTTAGTTGTGGAGAATCTGTTCTTGCAGTATGAATGATTTATGCCCTTGGTGCATGTTGGTTGCCCGCAATTTCTAAGACCTCTCAAAGATACACCTTTTCAAGAAATAACAAGCTAAATTCAGCAGCCTGCAAAAACAGTGAGTAAATATATCATTCTTATTTCTGTATTATTTTACCCCCTATTAGAAGAATTGGTGAGGGTGAATATTTGTGTCTCAGCCATTCTTGAACAAAGCTGTCTTTAAAATACAGAGAAAGCACTTTTACAAATTTTTATTAATGATCAAATTTAAATTTCTAGGGCTAGAAGTAGCAATTGTAATGAATGAATCACCAGTATCCCCTGTATCAGTTCTGGCCAAACATAAAATAAATGCTTGCAAACAAAATATCAAATGAGAAGGAAGCTGACTTCAGACAGACTCTGAATCTAGTCTATGAAAATGATTTTCTTTAAAAATCAATCATTTTTTTCATCTTGCTTAAGCATCTGCTGCTTAACAGAACAGCTCTAAGAAGTATTACAACTTGTCCTGCACATTATGTTTGTATATGAATATACATATACATATATATATTGCATAACATAGACATCCAATACCTGATGGAAGAGCACTTCAGAAAGCTGCACAAATACCATTCAAAAGGTTTCACCTACCCTTGGTAGTTCCGATTATGTATGTCCTGCTGCAGTCCCAGCCACGTTATCAACCCCTCTCAGGACAAGCACAGCGTGACAAACATCTGCTGGTACCAAACAGTTAAGTCAGCTTGCGAAACCGTTCATCTGGCCAGACAGTTCTAGGAAGAAAAGGTCTCTTCTGCTGCTAAGCCAATGCTAAGCAGCAAAGTTACAACAATAAACTGTAACCAGAGACCATGAGTTATTGGGAATGACCCTGAAATATCTGGCAGATATAAGAAAACTCATGAGCTGGAAGCGTGAAAAGTCACTTCTGTGAGAAAAAAACAAGCAGGACATAGGCTAACAAAAGCTGATTTGAACTAATAAGGATACAGATAATAATAAGTGTCAAAAGAGTGACTTGATTAGAAATTAATACTGGGGGTGAAGGGTTGTTTTAGAGCAGGCGTGTTATCAGAGCAAGGTGCTGTGAAACAAAGTCAAGGAAAATCTGATTTCAGGAAGAATGGAGCTAGATGTTGGTGTTTCAATTTCAATATATCTCTGGATATATACAGAAATACATATGGAATCTGTAGGTATCTCATATATTGTGGAAATAAGGTACACAATTCAGCATGCCAGAAAGACTTCTATCATGATTTGTTACTGAGAAGATCAATACAAATACAAATGTATTTATCAAATGTTGCTTATAGCAGCTCAACAGTGAGCTGTAATCCAGCTGTGTGTAGAACATTTGCATCTCCCATTCTTTCTCAGGACAATATGGAGCTATTCCTTAAAATTGCATAAATCAGTGACCTGCAGGTTCTTGTAATGTGATGCACAGCTGCAAGGAAAATGAGCAGCTACACACACCATTTGATTCTAGGAGCTCTTATCTGGTCACTTGCTTCCTGCTATAGCGATGGCATAAGTCTTGCCATGCCATTAATGCTGAGATGACACATTTGATCTAAATCTCATATTTTCTGTAATTTGTCACTATCTTTGCAAAGTATTGTATACATGGAAAACTGCATGCGTGTTGCTCCAGAAACTAGTTACGATTTTAAGAGTTAAAGAGTAAATCTCTGTTATCAGGCTTTCTAAAAGGAGAGAGTTTCCACATCAATATAAAGCCAGTTATATTTCTGAAAGTTGAAAGTCAAGTTTATTCTGAATTTCAGACTTGACGCAAACATGGGCTTTGATAAGGTCCATCAATGTTTGTTGAGTCTGGAAAGCTTTGGCACCGAATAAAAATTCCTTGCAGTAAGTGTGACGACAGTACTTACCCTGCTTGCAATTTTCTTGCCTATTTTCCACTACTATTTATGTGCTTGCTGCCTGCAGGATAAAGTATTATAATGCATTTCTATTTTTTTTTTTCTCAAAAACTCATGCACCAACTGTAGCACCATGGGACCACTTCTTCCCTGTATATGATAATAGAACCCACTGCTCTGTAATCTGCAGTTCAGGAGAGTATTCGGGCGAAAGCTTTGTTAGTGCTTACAATACAATGCTTAAGTGCAATGCTTAAAATTGCTTAATGTGGTTGGATTGTGTGTCTGCAATCTCCTGAGATATACATAGATGAGGTCAAAGCTAGCATCCACAAACACACAGCCATTTCTTTAAAAAAAGGCTCTTCTGAGGAGTGCCTGAGCCACACTGTCAAGTTCAAATTACCCCTGGTGTATGTCAATTAGACACAAACAAAACACATCAGTCAGGCACGGTATCAACCCTACTTCTTTTAAAGAATGCAATATATATTCTTTTTTCCCACTTTTTCAGTCCATTTCTTCACTCCTTTAAGTTAGTGGTGCTAGTGGCACTCGTCTCTTTCTGTTCTTACGAAAAACTGTCATTGAAGATACCTCCCCTTCAAGAGGAAGCAAAGAAACTGGTGTTGAGCATGTAAGCAGGTGATTCAATATAGGCTTAATACAAAGCCAGTGTATATGTTTTCAAAAACAGGATCAATTGTTTTTTAAATCAAGGTATATTTTTCCCCAGACTTCACTATGAGAAGGATGCCAAAGCAGAATTTGGCTTCCTTTTCAAACAAACAAAACCAGATTTCTGCCTGAGGCCAAGCTGGGCAGAATATTTCCCCCATATTCAATTATCTCCTAACAGGGATTCTGAAGAAACATCAGCTATAGCTTGATGCAATAGTCTCAAACCTGCAAAAATAGTGATAAGGACACACACACACACACCTTCTGTACAGAGCTCCTCATATGACTCAGTTTATCAATACATGACAGTTATCTCTTAAGAGATGCATATCAGTAACATAGCAATAGCATAACTGAGAAAGACAAAATATACTCTGAGATATCATTGCTTTTCTTTTTGATTAGAAATAGGATGTGGTGTCTTCAGTTGATCTTCCTATCTGCTTTCTTCTTGGTTTCCATGACATCAGAATCACGTAAGTCCCCCATATTCTCGGTTTTTCAATATGAATGCTAATTTACATTTTTGATATCCTTGAATGTAGATGAGGCCTTTCATCTTCTCCCTGTTCTCTCTCCTCCTCTACTGTTTTCTTGAAGAACGCTGTATTTCAAATGTTTTCCCTTCTCGGTGCGGCAATTCACTGTGTTTGCAGGACTCATGTACCTGAGTTTGGAAACAAGACTGTATGTAACACCAGTAGGGAAGGACAGATCTTCAGAAAGAGATCCAGAGCAGAATCCAGCTGTTCAGCAGATAGAGAGACTTACCACCTGACTTGTGCACCTACATATCTATCCAGCCCAAAAGTGAGAATAATACTTCAAAGTGTTATTTCTGGTCAGGAGACTTTCCCCATTATTCTTTATTTGATTCACTTTTCTTGTTCCTCGACTTATTGTATTTCTCTACCAACTTTCTCAATCTCCAGCCTTGCTGATTTTCTCATCCTTTTTTTTTTTTTCTCCAAAATTAATTTAAATTTCACCTAAGAGTATCAATTTTCAGCACCCAGTTCATATCTGGGAACTGTCAATATGGTGTATTTAAAGTTTTTCTGGACCAGTTGCAGTATTCAAAAGTTGAAATACCCTCAGACTTAAAAAAGAGTCTTAAAAAAGACGTAAAAAAAGACTTAGTGTCATACTCCCAGCACTTTCCACTTTTTGGTGTTTGTTTTCGAGATCTTGTCTACAGGCTTTCTTCTACTAGATTTTACCTGAAGGAGAAAAATTGAATGTCTTAAATTTCTTCTTCTTCTTCACTTAATAAGCAGCTCTAAAGCTCTTTCATGCTGTAGAAATAAATGTGCATTAGGCCAATTTAAGGTAAGTTAACTTTGTAGTACAATACTAAAGCCAGTGCTTTTCATTGTGAAAGACCTATATTTAAATTCCATTTTTGAATAGTAGCAGGACTTGAAATAAAGATTTGTGTAAATTCATTTCAACTCCAAATCACTATTTTCCAATTTTAAAAAAACGGATTTTTTGTATGTCTGCTTTGAATTTATTTATTTTTTCTGTCTTACACAATATCTATTATTTTTACAAATTACTTGCCTCATAAGCCAATGTTTGCTTAAAAAAAAAGTCATCGATGGGGAATGAGTTTGCTGTAAATGGCCAATGAAAGTTTGATCTTTATTTTTAAGCATACAGTTTTGCCCAGCGGGGAGGTGATTTGTTATCGAGGACTTGAGATTTATTTTGGAAATTGCCAAGGTAGTTTAAGACATTTTTTGTTCCTTAATTGCTTGTTGTTATTCCCCTACGGGAAGGCAACTGCGCCCTTGTCAGAACTAGCAGAAGGAAACGCAGAGTGTCTGTGCGTCTCCTCTGACTCAGCTGATGGGCAGGGAACGTGCCCAGCCACCACAACAGGGCTGTGCCATTGAACCTGCTGATGGCTTAAAGTGGCTTTAGTTAAAATGGTGTTGCCCTGCACTCAAACAGGTCCAAGCTACTCAGGACAGTCACAGCATATAGTGCGCGAATACATGGCTTCCTCTGGGATTGAAATGTGCTTTTCTATTAGACAACTATAAAATGTAAGGAATGAAATCTCAGCCAGGGATATCAATGCCAAGTTCTCTTCTGTTTTCAATGGCCTTTTAATGGGTTAAATTCATCTGGCATCTTTTATCTTTTGTTCAATTTGCAGATGATGCAATGGAAGGTGATGCTTTAGTTATAAAATGTCCCCCACTGACATATGTGAGAGTCACCTGGTATCACACAGAGACTAACAAAATAATTCCTGCAGAAGAAAAGGGATCACGAATATTTTCCTTGGAAAGATTCCTTTGGTTTCTTCCAACTTCTAGAGAAGATTCTGGAAACTACACTTGTATTACACATTAGTAAGTGGAACAATGACAAATGAAATGTGTAAGTGTAGAAAAAAACTTGCACGTCTTAATAATAGATTCTACTTGTTCTTCTATCTATGTAAACATCATTCATCTATTTTGTAACTTTCATTCTGCAATTGTTATTTTTATAAAGGGTAACTAACAATCAAAATGCAACTGAACTAGAATAATCACCCATGTGTTTATAAAACAAGACTCACATTTGTGACAAATATTCAGTATATCCCATATAAATATGTGGTCATTTACATATCTTTATTCTGCTTTTAAAGTTCAAATAATGTCACAAAGAAGTTCCACATAAGTGTGCAGGTACATCCAGAGAAGCAAGCAATATGTTTCCCAAGTGACATACGTTATCCAAATGAAACTGGAAAAGGAAGAATTGTTTGTCCTACGTTTGGCAATTATAAGAATGCTACTATTGTCCAGTGGTATAAGGTAAATAAAACCCTGATAGTGCAATTGTAAAGCTGTGAGTAGCTGTATGCAGCCAAATAATGAAAACTCTCTATTCAAGGATTGCAAACCTCTACAAGGAGAGAGATACTTTGAAAAAGATCAATATCTTTTTATTAATAGTCCAACAAAAGAGGATGATGGATATTATACTTGTCAATTTGCCTATACGCACAATGGGAATGTTTTTAATATATCAGCAACAAGAATTTTCATAAGTAATGGTAAGTTGGAGATTTTCTAGCTTGGTAAAGATTCCTGTCTCTTTAAAGCTAATGAATCTTAAATTAACTTTTTCATATGTGAATGTTGTGAATGAGAATCCAAGTGCGGTAGGATAGGGCTGTCTTCTTATGTGACTTCAATTTTTTTTTTTTTTTAATAAAAGTCTCTGCTTACTCTGGTTACATACTGTGTTTTTGCCGGCTGGCTGACAGTGCTCAGTTCTGAAGTGAGGTGTCCTCTTAGTGGGGTGCCACAAAGCTCTGTTTTCCATTTGTTTTGGGGAAAGGTAGCTAATGAGGATCACCTGGTGATCTGATTCATTGCATCACTGATGTGCTAATAGCCTACAATTCAATACCTCTGGCTCAGCTATCATTTCTTGTACAGAAGGGTTAACACGTGCTGGTAGGTTTGACCTGAATGAGACATTTTCTGCTTAGGAAGAAGCAATTAGGAAGTGGGGTATATACCTAGGCAGTAATGGAGTGGAGCTCAATGATTATTCTGCTTTGTTATTTGGAATACAACCAAGTTGACTGAGACCTTGGGGTCACTTCTAGGATGCAGTTTCCTCAGGGAGGCCTCATATTTGGACGGCAGTCGGGGGTAGAGCATGCCAACAGTCAACCCTTCCAGATTGTGTCAAATGTCAAGACTTCAAAATATGTCCGAAATCAAATTAATGCAAAAGGAGTTAGATTACTTCTAATTGTAAAAATAGATAAGATTTGTTTGCAGATTGATATCAGAGTGCCTTTTTATTTTTTTTTCCTGTGGGAAGGCATACAGCTTTGTGGTCACAATATTGATTTAGATGATAGGAGCCTTCATTCCAGTTTTGCTGCTGTGTCATGGTCTCAGTGCACCTTTTCATTCAGATTATTCTGAGCTATGTAGAAGAGGTTTGTGTTCGACTACTATGCTATAGGTTAGGAAGTGTAGTGCCTCCTCCTCTATCCTGCAATAAACTGATGATATACATGACACCCATCTGCCTAACCCTTCAGGTTTATTTGAATGAACTTTCATCTGAACATTTCTAACCAGTCAAGGACATTGTCCTGTCTGAATTGTATTGAATATTGCTGTTTTTTATCTGGCACAAAGTCATCCAAAATCACAGAAGCCTTTGTCATATCCAGGAACACTTTTCATTTCAAAGCCAATTTGACTATTTTTTTTTTAATCAATGTGGAAAGAAGGGATTGCAACATAGCTTGTTAAAACTAAGTTGGATCCCTCAAGTACATTGCAGAGTTTTTGTAAGATTCAAAATTCCTCAAACCAAATTCCTCAAGTTCTTATTAGTCCTTAGAATTGTGGTGTTGACAGTAAAGTAAATCAAGTAAACTCCTATTGCTTGCAGATCCACATAGACCCAGAGGAACTTCAACCTCTTAAGAAATTAGCATTGTTATATAGTCATGACACTGTTGTTTTTCTCTAGATCCAGATAAGGAAAATTAGAAACAATTAGGATGAGGAAAGAGAATTGCTTTGCTGACAGCCTTGTAGCCAGGGTGTTAAATATATTCCTACACTTTTTTTTTGAGAACTGTGGTTATGGGGTTCACAGAGGTACCTTGAGGAAGAAAAGCTTAAGGAGGAAACAGCAATGAGCCATCAAAGTGCCTGGAGTGGGAAATATGAGATAGGTAGTACAAAGGGCAAGAAAAGGAGAAAAATGCAATATGAGGAAAAATCCCCCAGAATTGAATGCCTAAATCGAGTCAAGGGGCTGGATGTCATTTGGCTTGTTTGTGTCAACTATTGTTGGAGAGGGAAAGTGAATATATCAATGGAAAAATAGTGTTCCCATAAACCATAGAAGTTTATGATGAGGGACGTTCAATGTCACGGCAGACTGATGTATTGGGAAGCAATTTTGAACTGATGTGTGCAGACAGTGCATGGAGGCCAGGACTTGGACATGCTCAGATGTCAGGCTGTAGAAATGGGGGGAAACAAAGGTGAACACAGGCAGTTGTAGGATAGTGAGTCTCCATTTCATATAATGCATGAATCTGATAGCATTGATACGAGTAATTTCTTAAATGTCTGAAGGAATTTCTTCACATCTTTTCAAAAACAAATTTATGCTTTGCATAAGAACAACATAGAACAACTGAGAAAATACACAAACCTATAACTGTATTTGGTATTTTTTTTCCATTCAGCTGGTGCAACAGAACTGGGGAAATAAAATCTTTCCTTTCTTTTTATGAACAAATGTAAAAAAAAATAAATAGGGAAAAAACCCTAAAAACTATTAAAATGTATGTTCACATGTACATACCCTCAGAAAAGCTTGCTTACAGGAGTAAAATCAGGTGTTCCGAGAAGACATCTGTAACACTGCTGTAGTGTTAGTTTGTAATTTTACTTTGACATGCTAAAGTAATAGTAGAGTAACAGTACAGATACATTCATTATTTTATAAAATATATTTTCATATTTTTCTAATATGTGCATTCTTTCTCCCCTTAATTTCTAAAGTAAAATACTCATCACTTTCACCTCAAATTTTATTTCCAAAAGAAAATGATGTAGTAGAAGTGGATATTGGTAAGTACAGACTTAAAATCATTTTTTAAAACAACATTTTTGGTAGTGTAATGAACTTGAGGATTTTCAAGAAGATTTAATAATAGAATTTATCACTATGTTTCTGTACTAAAATTTCAACCTGTTTTAAATCACCTCAGGGCCAGCAATATGGAGCTAGATATATTTGAAGAGCTATTTAGGCATTAAGTTGCAATTTAAGGGGATTTAAACAACCTAACCTGTTTTCACTGTGATAGACTAGGATACTTACCCAGCCAGTTATCACATCTCAGTTGAAGGGGAACAGCCTCCATGAACTGTAAGAGGGCCTTGATTAAATCCCTTAAAACTATCTGATAGTACTCTTTGCAGAGAAGTTTTAACTATTTTTGCAGCACAGTCTTACCTGAAATAACATAAACTGAAATTAAATGATGTCACTTCCCCGACATTTTTTGTGTAAACCACTATTTACCTTTGTTATTTCTGAGTAATTACTTAAGCGGGTAAAGCAATACCAAGTGAAGTCTATATTGCCTTCCTAACCTAACACAAATATAAATAATTCCTTTTGTAATTATTTTTGCTGCAGTGAATCATTTGTTTAAACCTTCTTTTACTCTTTTTTCCTAAGCATCTTCTTTGTGCCCTTTTTCAGCTTTAATTCAGAGGATCAGTCAAAATTGTTAAGGCAAAAGTGGAAGGTAGTGTGAAGATTTGTGGAAGAAAACATTATAAGGGAAATAAAGTTGTACTTGTTTTCTTCATGAAATATTTACAAGTCTCTGTATCTTGATCAGGTGCCACTTTGTCTCTGAAATGTCAGGCCCGCCTTGGGATTAAGAAACCACCTATAGATATTGTCACATGGGATGTGAATGATATTCCAGTAGAAAAACTAGGTTTTTCAAGATTTCGTGAAGAAACTTTTCGGTAAGTACATATAACATGGAATAATCTTTCTTCTGTGCAAACTGTGCGCAGCTATTAAACAGACAACAGTAACAGCTCTTTCTTTCTATTAGTTTTGAAGGGCATAATAAGGAATATTATAGAGAGACCACTTTATTTATTAGTGAAATAAAAAAGGAAGATCTTCAGGCAAATTTCAGATGTGTGGCAGTGAATCAAATGGGACACACAAAAGCCACGGTGACATTACAACTGAAGGCTCAATGTAAGTGCAGGATTTTTTCATTTTATGCTCTTACAGTCTTTACACTCAATTCGAAAAGTCAAAATTATGTGTGTGACATTATTGTTATTATTTCTATTAACAAAAGGAAAAAGGAGGCTGCTATGACCTGAAGTTAGAGGCAAAACTTCTATGGTTTCGTTAGTTCACAGAATTTCTTGGAGTTGCCTCTGCCAGGGAGCGGGCTTTACTGAGATGATACTAGTGAGAGGTTATGAAGAACAGGATGATGTTCTAGCTCTGTAGTAAGAATATCCTTTTTCTAGGATGATACCACTTAGCGGAAAGTTTCTCTTGCCTTGAAGGCAAGAGCAGCTTGAGAGCATTGCATCTGAATTTGGAGCACATTGGTTTAATGCAATCTACTATAGGAAAAGGACTTGGGTTATAAAGGAGCCTCTGTAAATGAGTGCCTGGCAAAGAACCGACCTCTCCTTTTGTCAACATTGTCAAAAATGCCTCTTGAGAAGCAGACATTCACCTTCTTTTAAGAATAAAACTGTAATTTCTAGTGCAGAACAATGACAGAAAATAAAAAGCTTTAAAAGCAGGGTTTCAGCTGCCAGTTTGCCAGTTTGCTTTCCTTCCTTCGTGTTCCTTCCCCTCCTCTTTCCCATACCACATCCGTCACTTGCTTTTTAGTTGAACATTTAAGTGGTGTGATTAACTTCTGCCACATCTGACTACCTCCTCTCCCTCTCTTGACTGTGTGCCAGATAGTGGTGTCACACTGAAGACTTTCTTTCGGTTTCAGTATTAAAGAATGGGTTCTAGTCATTTCTGTCAACAAAAAGAAAGGCAAGGGCAGTAAACGGTGGGGTGTAAGATTTGCATTTACTGACCCACCCTCTAAAACTACACAAAAGAATGACTACATGAAGGAATAAATATATTTGCTATTCTGTATCTATTAAGTAATTCAATGAGTCTGATTCCTTCTGTACGCAAATCTTATTTTGTTTTTATCCATAGGTCATCAGTAAACGTTCATGAAAGCTCTTGAGTGTGACCCACTTTGCTGCTGCCTGTTTTGTGTGGATGTCTGTTCCCTTCCCCTTGTTGCTGCTACTGCCAAGATGCTGCTTCTGCTACTCACTGCTGCTGGTGTAAGCGATGCTACATTCAGAAATGGTTATGCTCGGCTTTAGTTTTCTTCGCTTGCTCCTCACACAGCTGAGCAATATTGATGCTAAAACAGGGATAACCTAACTAGTATAGGTAGTATATATAGTATAGTATAGATACTACCTAGTATAATGAAAATGCTGCAGGGATTTCTTTGTGCCTCACGCCCTGTAAACATGCAATAAAAATGCGTACTGTTCTTTTCATTTGCTTGTTTTGCTTTAATGAAAAAGCAAATTTTTAAAAAAATCGGTGGCTTTTCCTTTGTCTTTTCTGCAGTCTACCTTTTATCAGCCACTTACTACAGTGTTAACAGGCTTTTACACATAATCTTGCTCTGTACTCTAGATTTTTCTCAAGACGTTGTGTAAGGCTTACATTATGATTATTTGTAGGCCATATTTCTGACAGGCAGAAAAAGATCAATAGATGTTCTGCCATCTAATACAGAAACCAGGCAATTTAGGGGGGCATTTCGTGAACTCTTTAAGTGGTGTGCAGTAGCACAGATGACAGGGTAAGGGAGAAAGTGAAGATAATGTAGGTGATCACACAGAGCTTCTCTCTGTTACAACCTCTTCAGTCCTACAGCAATAAACAGTCTCTTCAAAAACTTGCTGAATGAGCGATTTGGCCCATCACACAGAAAGTTTCAATGTAAACGGGGAATTAATTCAAAACTTCTGAGTTATTATTAAATACTTTAATTCATTGTTAGCAAAATCATTATAATGAATTAATAATTTGTTTTGATAACAATAGTAATCCACATAAAAATTAAAATTGCTAAACAGAACAGTGAAAAAAACAACAAGTTTCTTTCACAGGCAAGGGTGATGACAGCTCTTTGTTTTTATCTCAATGGCAAACATGTATATACCCTTAATACTGCCAGGAAAGGTTGTGACTGGCAAAGCCGCTTAACCTTTCACAGGAAAAAAAAAGTTTTTCAGTTTAGAATATATGTTATGTAAATATACACATATTTACATGTATGTGAAGAAAAGTACAGGAAAGAAGCTAGTATTTATCCCCAGAGTTTCTTTTCACTTGTCTTTTTAAATATGAGATAAATGCTGCTCAGTGTCTGCTGAAAAAACTAATTATTTCTTTAGACATAATCTAAGCATGTCAGTTTACCAGAAACAATGCAATGAAGTCAGCTCTGTTTGGCATGATTTGGCATTAGCCAGATGAGGAACAATTTGTCTTTCCACTTTGTCAGATCACAGGGAGTTCTGACAAATTATTTCACTGTTTTAATAGCAAAATTTTAATGAGGATTTGGCTACAAACTTTGACAGTTTCTAAAACTACTTTCTTGCTCTCATTTATCCCATCAGGGAGGGCCTATGTCCACATTTTTGAGCTGCTACTGCTACATTAAGAGGCTGCTTCTTCTCATGCTAAGGAAGTTCTTTCTCATCCATCCTCTGCACAGTCTTTGATCTTTCCCAGGCAATATAGAACCATTCTGCTACACAATTTCCCATCTTTCCTTGCTCTTTATCTCTCCTGAGATTCTCTGCTGTCTCCTGACTCCTTAATGTTTTAAAAACATTCCTGATGTCTTTTAGTCCTACGCAGAAAATATGGTCTGCCTCATTTCCTGCCATATCTTTCAGTCCTGTGTTTCCCTTTCTAATCCCAGAAATGATGATCATCACATATTACACATCCCTTCTCTACTGCAAGATGTGCAGTGAGATCATCTGAATAACTCTTTGTGTGGTGCTGGTGTCTCTGCTCATTGTAAGGCTGAGGAATCTGTGACAACTTTTGATTCCCTTTTCTTCCTCTTCTAATAGCTAGTCTTGCCAGGTGCTTGAGTCAGGATAGGAAAATTGCTTCAGCATCCCTTTAATTTGTCTTCTAGGGAATACAAGGATTGTCTTGAGTATCTCCAAAATTCTTCCATTCTAAGTAAAATATAAGCTGCCACTGGCTTCTTCTTGTGGTCTGTCTTCATTTAGAGGTGATTAAATCACTGGCATTACATGGGTCTGACCTGCAAGTATCATCTTGTTCCTTCCTGGGTTTGTGTTGCTCACTTCTCATTCACAAACAGGTGTAAAATGGCTAGAGAACTACAAATCCTGTTGTGAATTCACTGCTAGGTATGATGCCAGAAATTGCCATCATGCCGGATAGAGTTCAGCCCATAACATCAACTCTGTTCTTCCTCATACATATGTTTAACACTGGGCTTATTTAACTTTTTGACTCTTCACTGGCAGATGCTTTTGGACAGAAATTCCAGATCCAGCTCTCTGCCTTTACTTTCTGGATGTGTTCAACTGCAAAGCCAGTTAAGTTGTGCATATATATACATCAATTCTTCAGCATCCTTTCAGAGATACCTTCAGATGTTCTTTTCTGACTTATTTTCTTTAGTCTCTCATTTTTTTATTTTATTTATTTATTGTGTGTGAGCAGATATGTATTTTTAAAGACTATTCATGAACAGAGTATCAATCTCCGCTCCTTTGATCATCCTCAACAGGTAGTGAGAGGAGTTTTCTGATATCATCTGTGCATGTATTAATGGGGAAAATTGATCAAATCATAAATTTGAAGAAGTCCATAGGGGCAGCATTCCTTCCTAGGTATCATTGACATAGTTGCTGCTACAGGCAGGCCAAACTCCACTATAAAAGCAACTGGTAGTTTGCTTGCTCAAATTAATGTTATTGGAGGGTTGTTTTCCCCAGACTTCCCAGTTCTGGTGCAGGTAAACTTCATCAGGCACCTCATGGTATGATGTTTATTTTTTTTTTAAATGGCCAAGAAAATCCAGAAAAGGCCCAAAGCAGTTGTATTATTACAAATAATGGGTGATGAATTGTCATACTGGGCAGGAATAAATAGGCAAAGAAGAGGGTTTGTAAATGGAAATCTCTTACGTTTGTTTAGCCGTTAAAAAGAAAATGTATACAGAAGTGCTCTAAGTCCACACATTAATAACGAGAAGAATGGCCATACGTATCTTCTACTTGCTTTGGAGCAAATTTCTACTAAGCGGGAGTTGTCATTACTCTTCCCTTCAAAGGGATAGTGCATCCTCCTTGTATAAGTGCTGTATACATTCTTTGATATTTTAATTTCAAATGTGACTACCTGGAATTCATAGTGGTTCAGTATTGTAACCCTGACGAATTTAATACAGACAGAACATAAGACAAAAGTGACTTCTTCATCTTTGTGGCTCTAACAATCTGTGGATTTAAGTTTTTGAACTCTCTAACATGAGGTTGGAGGTAGTTAGAAATTATCTTGCTTCTAGCTTCCATCATCTCTTACTGTATCAGGACCAGATGTCATGTAAAGAATGTACACATCTACATGGACTTAATTACGTGGATTACAGAATAAGGGGAAATTTGGACTGTTATGGGAGAATAGATATTCTTCTGGGAATATCTATTCCCAGAAGAGGGTCAATCACAACCTTATCCAAATTTGGCTGTGAGCACAATAGCACAGAACTGTTGGCTGCAGCCCTTGATACTCTCTGAGGACCAGATCCAAGAGCTCTTGCAGGAGGGAGGCTAGAACGGAAGTGGGTGACCACTCTTTCTGATTCTCATGGGTATTTTGTGCTCCCCAAAAGAAAAGGAGGAGGAGAATCTCACCTGCCTCCAAAGTAGTTTATTTTACTTTTATGAAGAGGGCTTGCTCTGATTTCCTACTTGTTTTGCGTGCTTTGTTCTTATCTTGCAGATTTTATTATTTGCACATACTTCTCTGTACCTTTTGTACATCTATACCACAAATCTCTGGTTGCCCATATGTGGCTACTTACATTTTTGATACTCAGCTGTGTTACAGATGCACATATATTGTTGTTTAGTTGACAGTGCTGCAGTGTGACAAAATACTTTTAAAACTGTTGCCCACTATGGTATTTTAGTATATACTTCTTCTGTGTTTAAAACAAGCAACAATTAGTTACACTCTGCTTAGGATGCTTCTGGAAAACAGAGGTGCAGCGGGTCTCTCTCTGGCTACACTAACTTGGAAGGAAAATGTTTTGCTGTCTGTTGTGATCTCCTTAAAGCCATACTGGAAGGAAGGGTGTGAGAGGCTGAGGCTTCAGCCCTCACGTTCATTTCTGTACAGCTAATGCTTTCTTTCTTTTTCTTCTTTGCAGGGAATTATCCCAGTGTCCTCATGATCATAGGATTTCTAGTTCTGTTAATAATAATATCAGTCTCTGTGGTACTTTATCAGTCTTTCCGAGTTGATATTGTACTATTGTATCGGAAGATATTTCAACCCTACCCAGTCAAGGATGGTAAGAATTGTACAGAAGGGTTTTTCCTTGCCTCCCCTCCCCTCCCCTCGCCTCCCCTCCCTTCTTGTCTTTCACTGTTAACAGTTATTACTAAAAACAGTTATTATTAAAATACAGTTATTACTAAAATAACAAATGCTGAGCTTCATCTCTGCTTCATCCTAATGTGCATTGGGCAATTGAATTCTTACTCTACATAGGTTGGATACAGCCTTCATAACAGTAAGGTTGGTTTCCTCAAATTTGCAAATGCACCTAACAAACAACTGAGCACAGAAGACATCAAATATGGACAGTCTCTGTTTTCCAAACATGTGTCCAATGATATGTATTATTCAGATTAATACTCTTATTCAATTTTAATAGACAATACTTTGTGTGCAATATACAGCTCTAATCCATGTTAATGCCATGACTTTCTTCTTGTTCTACCTCACAGATGGGAAGATATATGATGCGTATGTTATCTACCCCAAAAGCCACACCAGTGAAGCTAACTTTGTGGAAAATTTTGTTTACCAAATTCTACCAGATGTTCTAGAAAATGAATGTGGATATAAATTATGCATTTATGGGAGAGATATATGCCCTGGAGAAGGCAAGTTTCAGACTGCATTAGGCACTAAATGACTAGTAAAGTTGGAGTGAATTACAATTCTACTATCCTTTGGGAGTATAGGAGGTTGACACTTTACACTTTTTTTTTTTTCAGGCAAAGTAACAAAATGGTGCTATTCTTGTGGTGATCTAAGGAAAGGAAGCTGTAGGGTAGTAGCACACATTATTTACAACTTCCTTGGGTCATACATATTTGGGTAGGGGCCTGCATAGTCATTATCCAGGCAAAGCCACAAACAAAGCATGCATGAGCAGGTCTACAAGAAACTGAAGAGCAGAAAACCACAGACTAAGTTGAGAAACTGATCCTGCTGTTATCACCAAGGGTTTTTTAACCTTTGACAAGGGTGTTTAAGTTACAGGAAGTTCAACTTCTGCTACTGAACTAACCTACTTTCAATTGACACAATTTCCAGTATTAATCAAGGAGGCAGTTTGTATTCTTCATTCCATTCTGCTTGTATTCCAAACCAGATTTTATATGTAAAGTTAATCTGTTTTTTTTTTCCCCCATATGGATATCTCTACACTATCTCTTATGCTGGCAAGCTTTCAGCCTTCCTCCAGAGCTGACATGTCCATTTATCCTGTTGTGGTCTGATGTTATGTGTGTTAGCAGAGAACTGCATGTTCTCCCTCTGTCAGAATAAAGTCACAAAGTTGATCCTGACACATTTTCAATTACACAACTCTGAGATCAGCAGTGGGCCAGGAATCATTCATCTGCTTTTAGCTGGGATAAAATCCTTGATCTCCTCTTCTGGTGAGCGGCAAATCTTCTGCCAAAAAGACAAAAGACATAAAAAAAGGCTCCACAGGTAGCTGAGCCAGGCCATATCCAGTATACCAAATAAAGAACAAGGAACTGACATTAGCTCATGAAACTATCAATGACAAAAGCTTACAAAACCCATTCAAGTGATTAGGGACAGGAAAATAATTTGTTTTGGGACATCACTGTTCAGCTATGGTTTATGGAGTATGATCACACAGAAAACTGTGCATGACATACAGAGAGGTAAAGACTGTTGGACTAACAGGAAATCCAACAAATGTCTGAAAAGTAAGATGTTTTTATTGCACAAGTGCATAAATTGGTGACTCTAAATCAGGAGTTTGCCAGAGAGAAGACTCATACTGCCATTCATCCTTGGAAAGCGAATATCTTTCACTGGATTTAATCAATCTGATCTCAGTCTTCTGAAAAGACTGCTGTCTTTTCTTCTCTCTTCTTACTTACTTTCACAACCTCCTATCCACATAGCCTTTCCTTATCCATTATTTTCCCCAAAAATGCTTTCACTTGAGTGAAAGAGAAATCCAGAGTCTGCCTGTCACTTGGAGCACTTAAAAGTTCGCTGCTTCCACACAATTGGATATTTAGTTATACACTTTCTTGTCTTAGTCACCTGTCTCTCTTGATTCTAGTTTATCCCTTGCTTTTTCTCAAAAGGTCAATCTTCTGCTCTTCTGTTGAGGTTACCTGATTCTCCTTAAATTGAAAACATGCTAAGTGCAGAACTAATCAGGAGTATTTTAAATGAATACTTCCTTGTTACTGTGATCTTTCCTGAGCATGCATCATGGCATTTGATGAATCATATTTTTTACTGCAAGACTACATGTATTTTAAGCAAGAAAACTCCGTTTGAGTGATAGGTAATGGAATTATCATTTTGAGAAGTGTTCACAACTCTTAGTTCCAGAGCAGAGTTTTTTTTAGCTTGTAACTTATGTTCTCCCAATAATACAAAAAGTTAAGCAGAACGATCCAAGTGCAGAACATCACTGCACATATTCTGGGCTCCCATTTGCATTCTTGAATTTGCATTCCTTTTGTTTTTCTGGTCATAGTGATAAATGGTATTTGGTGCAGTATAACAATTGTTTGAAGAGGTCCAAACACAAGTATTACTGAGTAAACCCAGGAGTTTCATCATCACCTTCTGCTCTATTCCTGCGATGGCACCACTGTGCTGCCAATTGTGTTCTTTGCCAGAGTCTAACACTGCCAGAGCTGCTGTACCTATAATGCAAAAAAATCGTAAGAAAATAACAGAAGAATAGGAATAATTAGACCACTGTTGCACATAGACAAGTATCCTATATCTAACAGTTGCCATAAGGAAAGAGCTGGAAAAAAAAGAAGAACAAGACAAGTTTCCTCTGCTGTATTCTTCCAGTAGTTTGTGGACTTCAGAGGTTGGATTTTTTGTGTGTAATAAGTTTCCATAGGTATTTCTTTCATAGCATTTTCTGCTACTCTTTGAACCCATATGAACTTCTTGCACTCACAAAACTGGTCACAATTAATTCTACAGTTGAAATACTCGCAGCACAGCCCATCCTTCCCCCGTCACAAGTCATCATACACCCCAATGGAAAGTAATATACCCTCTCAGTTCCAGGGTCTCTCAGTTCTGGGCACAATGGATTGCACCTCAAACCTCACACAGTCATCGTGGCAAGTCATGAAGAGCAACAGCCCCTGGAGGCTTGATTTTCAACATGTTTCTCTTGTGGTTTACCAGCTCTTGAGTTCCCCAGGCATAATCCTCCATCATCACTCCCTAGTTGTGGTTGATTAGCCCTTCCTAACTCGGCAGTGGGCAAGCGGAAAAACACTCTTTATCATGCTGATAAATGCCACAGGTGCCCTCTCCAGACTTGCAGAATAGTTATTTAACACTTAGGACACTTGTTTCGTGAGTGCTCTATGCACACTGATGGGGCGCTAGGTGAGGCAGCAGGATGGATGCCAACACAATATGCAGGTTAGCATATAAATTAGGATGCTGTAGCTCAGGAGATGCTACAAGTAAATAAGGCTCTTCTTAGAAATTATAGTCACTGAAACATTCCCAAATGGCTAATTTTCATTAGTAAGTATTGCAGGATCTGTTCATAAATCCCAATTCCCAATTATAGTTAAAATAATAAGGTTTTAGTTAAAGAGAATATCTGAATTTAAACTTTGATTACTGTGAGGTCTTCATTTTTTTTTTCCTAGTGAAAAAACTACATCAGATGATTGAAATGAGACAGATTGTTTCTGGTTGAAAAGCAACAAAAACAGAACGCCTGAACACAAAAGAGTTTATAAAAGAGATTTCACCGTCTCTTCATATTCTTGTACATTTTTAGATATAGCCAGTGCAATTGAAAAGAGGATACAGAAGAGCAGACGGCTGATCATCATTCTAACACTCCAGTCGATTCACTGTGAAGATCTTGCTTATGACCAGCATATTGCTTTTTACAATGCCCTCATTCAAAATGATACAAAGGTGATCCTTCTGGAAATGGAGGCAATTGGGAACTATGAGCAGCTTCAGGAATCTCTTAGGTATATCATTAAGCAACAAGGTACCATCAAATGGAAAGAGATGCCAACAGGACACCCACAGTCATCCAATTCAAAGTTCTGGAAACATGTGAGGTACCGTATGCCCCTGGCACACAAGACTTCATGCTCAGCTAATGCTAAGTGAATAGTGAGTCTAAGAAAATCTGGTATATTATTAGCTTAAACCATGCACCTACATCGCCTTTTCCTTTCAGTAGGTGTTGGATTTTGCAGTATGGAAGTCTGGCTGTGTTTTTTTCACCTTTTTTTTTTTTTTTAAATCTTTCAATTGGATAAAGATAAGATAAACTAAAAAGGCATCTCTGGGGAACTCAACAGAGTTTGTCAGAGGCATCAGAATTCTGTAAACAAATCATCTGGACTGAGTGCAGCATTTATGATCTGAATTTATGTGGGAAACAATCTTTCTGTATATACATATAACTGAGAGTTTTCATTCTGAATAACTGAATATTTTGCAGGTTTGCATTATGTACCAAATGCTTTTTATTTGATAACTGTCTTCTAAATTATTCTACTAGAAATTATAGTGTTTTGCTTTTGTTCCTTTCTACCACCACCTATTTCTTGTTGATTCAGTAATAACAGTCATATTACAAAACCTGAGTCTTCCTGACTGGGAATGGCTTAGTAAAGGGCTCTTCAGAAATTGACATGAGTACATTACTTTTTTAAGCGCACATTTATAGGAAACTAATGAATACATATTACTATATATAAATTACATGTATGTTGTATCTCACATAAACAAGAATATATTTGACTCTATTGCAATATTACAAAGTGATTTTACATTTAAAACTGCTAAATATATAAGTAGAACAAATAGAGAAAAAATTGTATTTTAATTTTTATTGTTGTTATTATATATGCAGATAGATTTTTTAAATTTAATATATATATTTTTGCACTGCTAGCATTCCTTTAGATTTTCTGAAGAAGTGACTGACTGCATTTTCCAGCAACGAGTGATAACATTTTGTTTTCTGCTTTGACCTTATGCCTGGCTACAAATTCTTCTAATATTCTTAGTTACAAAGACCAAATCTATACCTGGTCATGGGTGTATGTACAAAGCATATTCTATATACATCCTTAGGGGTATTAATGATTTTAGCTTCCTAAAAACAGAAATTTTCATAAAGTGTGAGAAGACTTGATTTTGAACTTCAAGCCTGCTAAATTGAAAATTAGAGGCAGAACATCTAATTTGCCAATGCAGGCTAACAAAACAGACAAGTCCATTCCTTTTTTTGTATACTCTGTGTTTACTAAGTATGTATCTACAGACTCATGTACTACTGTTAGGAGTAGAAAGAAAGGATATGCAATATATATGTATAGGTTTGTTTTTCAATGTGAAATTAAAAGATCAATGGCAAACAGATTTTCATTGATTCTTTAAATTATCAAGCATCCATGGTCTTTTACTCACTTCAACAAAGCCATAAAACATTGACGTTGCATTTTAGTTTTGTTTCTTCATACCTAGTATTGAGCCCTGTCCCTGAAGATCCATCAATGAACCTCATGAACTTCAATGTCTATTTGGTAGCTCCGTGGAATGAATTTGCGATAGTATAAGAAAATTAGTTTATTACAGGTTGAACCAGGGTCTGTGTTTTGGTGGCTCCTGAAGTGCCATTACTTCCCTCAGAAAGAATATTAATACTAAAACATGTGCAAAAGTGGTTGCTTTTCACTACAAAGACTTTTTCACAAAACCATTAAAAGCCATTCACTTCCAAGGCCATTACAAGGGCTATTTTTAAGACTGGTTGAGATCTGAGCACTTATAATGAAGAAAAGATCATAACAGGAAACCTTAGAAACAATAGATTTGAGATGAATTTTGAGGTTGGAAAGCAATAAAACCAATGGAAGAGAAAATACAATGCAGAAATGCAAGGGGTCAGCACAGAATCAAGTTGTTCTAAAACCAAGTGATATTTCCTTGACTTTTGTGAACCAGGCATGTAGTTAGGGTGGTTAAAAACAGACCCATTAAATATCTCTTGTGATGATACCGGCTTCATGGCCAGCCAAGAAAAAGAGATTAAGACTATAATCTAACAACTCTTAAGGTGATTTACCAGCAGCGAAGAGCCCTGTCAGAAAGAAAAGGGGTTAAATTCTTAGAATGGCAAAGAACTTCTTTAGAGAAAAAGTAAGTATGCAATTATAATAATGATAGGGAAATGGTGCAGATGCCCCTTCTTTTTATATTCCTTGCGGTATGGAAATCCAAGGTATGCACTAAAATTAATGCCTATCTTAAGCTATCACCACTACAGTGTTAAAGTGAAAGCACAAAAAGCAGTCTGGTGTACTTTTGTAACATTGTAATGTAAGATGAATCTAAATATACAAAACGTGTTTTTAACGAAAATTTCCATTTTCCTTTCATATTGTCTTGAATACATATAAAATATACCATAGAATCTGCCTTTATGGAATTACAACAGCATAAAGGGAGAGATCGCCCTTTGCAAAATATCCCTTTTTCCACCTTAAAACACTGATAAAAGACTCACTTCGAATATTTAAGCTTTAAACACTAAATGGAATAAAATTGTTTGTAGTCAAGGTCATTTGGTTACAGATTTAGATTATTCACTTATGTGTTTAATGACCTTTTATTTCTGATTTGTGCCATCCCTGTTATCCTGATATGCCCTTTGCCAGAGAGCAGATCCGCTTTCAGAATTTAGTTAAGAAGAGTCAGTGGGCCATCTAGTGGATGGCAAGGTATCCAGAGATTGTGACCAACTAAAAATAAATCATTTTGGGAATTGCAATAGCAATCAACATAGTGAAATTCTCAGCATGTGCCTGCTGTAATCTCCTGAAACCAACACAACATCCCCTCTTAATGGCATCTCAGAATATGGCACTGGTACCTGGTGACTGACAAGGCTTTGAAGTATCACTGCTTCCATATATATTTTTTTGAAGGAGCAGAAGCGTCTATCTGCCATGTAACTGCAATCAAACTGAGTTAAACATCCCTAGTTATATGTTCTTAATCTCTGAATACCACATATCTGACAAGTGATATGCTACATTGCAGACAATAAAGAAAAAAAAAAACAGGACAGAAAGACAAAAAAAAGACAGGAACGAGCATTGACTTTGCAGGCTGGTTGACGTCAGTGGTGAAACTACCGGTAGTTTCAGTGGAACTAAAATTAGCTCCTGCTAATATGAAGTATGATAGCTGCACTTCCCATAGCAAATAGAATATGCTATATATTTAATATAAACCAGCCTTTCATGTGAACATGGTTTGGCCATAAGAAATATTGCTCAGATCTGAGGTTGCTTCTTCATCTAAATCACAGCCCTGAAAAGTCAGCCTGGCTGTTGCTCCTGCCACACACGGTGCAAGAGCACCCCTCTCATTCATGTATCTATATCTCAGTTGAAATAGCAGCAATCTAATCCTTCAAAGCCCTATATCCTTCTGTCCTAACCCCTCACGTTTTCGCTTGCTATTACAAAAACAGGCCAGCCTCTCTTCCTCCGGGGAGACTTTTGCCTACACTGCACCAATTCTGTTTGCTACCACAGAACCGTTTCCTTTTATTCACATTTGTGAGCACCAAGAGATTGACCAGTAGAAAGACTCTTTTTGAGGAAAGCTATTATGTATAGTGCATGTAACATCAACATCTTACAGGCTTGGCCAAGTTTGTTTGGAAGATAATACACAAAATTGATAACATGTGTTATAGAAAAGTTATACACGTACAAGTGTATGTTCCTGACTTTTTGAGGGGTTGAAAAATTACAGAGGCTGTGATAGGAATCTGAGCATATATGAGTGGTCTATACTTTTGTGGTTTATGAGCTTTCGTGCTTTAAAGCTTGAATTACATGCCAATTTCTTACTAAAGTTATAATCTATTTCCTTCTAATTTATTCTTTAAAAATGTTCCTACTATTTGTGGATCTTAGTACCTTGAAGGATATGAAGCAAATCATTATGGAAGCCATTTCCAAGCATATGAATCACAAGAAGGTGACTGGGAACAGCCAGCATGTTTTTTTTAAGGAACAAATCATGTGCACAGTGACCAACCGTGCTGTGGACAATGGGAGAGCACTGGATGCTGCATATCTTGAAGTTAGCAAGGCCTCTGACATAGTCTCCTGCAATATCCACAGTATCCTTATATACAAATTGGTGAGATATGGGCAGGAAAAGTAGGTTAAGGTAAAAGTGGACTGGCTGCACCAAACATCAATGATGGATTGGCAGATTGTAATTGGCATACAAAGCCCAACAAACAGCCCAGCAAACATCAATGGTGTCCATCGGGTACTGATCCTGGCACTGGTATTGCTTGATTTCCTTATTAATGATCTTGGCTGTGGGATGAGGAGCACCAAGCAGATTTGAAAACAATATTGGATTGGGAAGGATGGTTGACACACGGGGCTTAAGGCTGCTGTTTAGAACAACAACCATAGGCTGGAGAAACGGGCTGACAGAGGCACAGAAGGTTCAGCGAAGGCACACTGCAATGTCCTGAACCTGGAACAACTCCATTTCAACAAAGTAAACTGGAGGCCAACCTAGCAGAGGGTAGTTTTGTGGAAAAAGACTGGGAATCCTGGTGGACAACAAGCTGTACCTGAGCTAGCAGTTTGCCTTCATGACAAAGGCAACCAACCACATTCTGGTTTTATTGGCAAGGGTGTGACCCAGCGACTTGAGGAAAGCAACTATTCACCTGTATTCAGCATTTGTAAGCTCCAGAGGATGATGTCAAATTTTGCATCCCGTGATGCAAGCAAGTCATTGACTCACTGGAATGAGTCTAGTGAAGACTGTCTGGATGGGCTGGAGAAAAGAACATACAGGGAGAAGATGCATCTGTTTACAAGAATGTCATGGAAAGTTATAGAGAAGACGAACCCAGACTCTTCTCACTGAAATACAGTGATGAGACAAAACAAGCAACACGCACAACATGGAACATAGTTAAATCAATTAGATACTAGAATTTTTTTAACCATAAACATAGTCAAATAGTGGGACTGGTCTACAGAGAACGGAATCTCCACTCTTGGAGTTAGTCAAGACTCGGCAGTTCAAGACTGGCCCTGAGAAAGAGGTTGGACTTAATGACCTCCAGAGCTCCCTTCCAACCTAAATTATTCTCTGATTATGCAGTGTGAGGAAAGTTTGAAAAACCTGCAGATTCCAAAACTTCTGAAGATCACACAAGGCTTTTATAGATGTGTGATGAGTGTGCAACATGCTTTTGGACATCAGGGACAGATAATGCTGGAAAAGTATGAATGCAACATAGCACCTACCAGGAGTTAATTTGACAGGTACAAAAATGTAGTAAAAGCAGATTAACAAAATTACCAGTTACAGGTTACCAGTTAGAAGTGAAGAACAGTCTTAGCACATGGTTGTGAGAGTTGGATGTTGGGTTCCTGTTTGTGACGGAAATAGTTTCACAGTTTAGATTTTCAGTTAGCTCAGCGTAGAGCGTGTTGGATGGAAAGACTGTGATAAGTAACTGGTTTTCTCTAGTGTTTAGGCAGTCATAACTCAGAGAAATACTCGTTTTCCAATATTGCTGTGAATTTCCATTTGCATCATGATCAGAACAGGCTGCTGCCCTGCTCTGCGGTTATTTTCACAGTCTAGTTACTTCTTTATTACTTGTGTATTTCTTCACTATTAAAAATTGGGTTCATCTGAGGACTTAAAACTGTGGACATCCCTCTCTTTCTACATTCCTTTATGTACCTAGCTAGCTATGCTATTAGCTAGCTAGCTATGGCATTAGCTGAAAGCACTAATTTATCACCGTGCTTTCTATAGCACAGGTGAAAGTTCATAAACTTGAGAGTATTTCAAAAGGATATGAAAGCAAATGCATGTGAGAACAGCTCATGGAAAATACTATTGTAAAAGTGTGAATAAAACAAAATGGATATTTCCAGGCTATTACTATTGAGACAGTCTGTCAAAGTAAAAAGCTGATAACATTTTGCTCCAATTTATTTCTTGGCTGTAGATTATTTTTCAACTTTCCTGTAAAATCATTATTAACTTCATGATATAAAGGCTTAAAGTTATTATTAAGTTTTAAAATCTTGTACTGAATCATACATGTGCGGGGCAAGGTAGCACTGCAAAATGCACACACCTTTGAAGTAGTCGTAGTGGTCAGTTTTGCATCTGACTTTCCTAAAGTTGTGCTTATTTGCATTAGGTAAGGATCTGATTGCCTTTATATACATCTTATTTCAATCTGTGACGAAGAAGCCAAATGTGGAGAGGCAGTAAAGATTTTCAGGGATTTTTTACCTCAGCAGTAAAATATGCAAAAAATGCCAGGTCTACATGATGTCTCCTTTTTTAGCATAAATTGCATGTCTTATCTCTGAATGACCTCCTGCTATAGGGAACTTCAGGGTACCCCTGTGTTCTGGGTGTAATAATAATTAATATCAACAACAATAATGATAATACTAAAGGTTAGTGTCAAGAGATTGACTTCTGAAGATAAAAAGGATAATATCGAAACAAAAGAAATTCTGAAGGAATAAAAATCAAAGCATCAAAGTATCTTCCTCTAGAAGCACAATGAAATCTTTTTGCAGTACATTTAGAATAAACTGCTTGTGTGAACTAAGCAGGGGCACACATTCACTGGCTGAGGGTTGCTGCTTAGCAGGGAACACAGTGGTCAGAGATCCTAATCAGGGAACTTCAGGCAGCTCCAACCATTGGCAGAAAAGGCATACTAAGCTGGCGGCATGAGGGCTTGCTTTGGGGTGAACTCATGTGACTTGTTTTGGGGTGGTGCACTGCTTTCACGGTAAAAGATTTTTTACATGTTTTGTGCCTTGAAGGCTTGCATTACTCCACCCCCCTGCCCTGCCAAGGGGACACTGGCAACATAAAAGACAATGAAATCAGAACACAAGGCACCAGTAGATTTTTTTTTTTTTGTAGAACTGACTCACTTTGCCTTTTCCCTCTTCCTGCTGCTCACAATTTGTGAGGGCTTTTCTCTCATTCTTTTCCTTTTTCCTTTCCTTTCCTTTCCTTTCCTTTCCTTTCCTTTTTATTTCCTTTTCTCATTGTCCCTCCTTTCTTTTCTCTTTCCTTCCTTCGTTTCTCCTTTCTTTTCTGTTTTTTTCTCTTTTCGTTTTATTCTTTTCTCTTTTGTCTTCCTTTGTTTTATCTTTTTTATTCCTCCTTTATTTCCCCCCCCCCTTTTTTTTCCTTTACTCTTCTCT